TACGTTTGTCGCTTAGGTTTAATGATAATGCCGATAACGGCGATGTCGATTTGTACATAGGGTATAATTATAGTAATGATAATAATAATAATATGTATCGGTACAACGATATGAATGTATATGCGGGTGGTGATTGTATCCAAGACCATACGTACGATCCGAATGCGAGAAAAGTAGAGTAAAATTGAATCGCGAGCATGCGTTAACGCAAAGATACAACAGAGAAAGAAAACAAAACATTTTAGATCCGTTTACGTTCATCACCGTAGCTATTCTTTCATTTCACTCTCCCTCCCAGAAACGACCGGATGTGTTTCTTGCTGATACCACGCATTGCTGTTCATTCTCCTCGATCGAGTTCCCGGGGACTCGCGTATTCAGAACGCGTCTTCCAAAATTGTCGTAACATCGGGACGTTATCGTTCCTTTTTAACGATATTTTCTTTATTTTTATACATACATACGTACATACATGAATATATTGACGTATGTATATATATATATATACGTATATAAAAATGAGACGTGCCATAGTCACGCATTTAACAATGTGTTTGATTTCACGAGTCGAAACGTACGAAGTTTTGATAACGTTTTCAAAAACACGCGTATACACACACGTTTTTGCAATCGGCAGCCACGCACTACACGACGATTCTGCGACCCGCAAATACGCACACCCAAGTGCTGTCTATTTAGCAATGTTCATTACGTTTTCCTCGAGATTCTCCGGCCGAGCTAAGCGATCCACTCGATGTCGGGAGAGAATAGATTAAGATTTGTGGTCAGTGGATAAAAAAAAAAAAAACGATTAATAAACTAAAAATGGAGGAGAGAGAAAGATGGAGAGATACGCGAGAACGAACGAGCGTCGTGAGGACGAAGTTCTCATCGTGTGTGGCGAGTGAAACGCGCGTCGACGCTCGTCGAGCGATTCGAAAATAGTTACAGGCGATCGCAGATGACCCCCGTGACAATGTATTTATCGTGGTCACGCTATCGTCGTGAACGAATAAACATTATTTCGGAGTACCACTCGCGTTCGTAGGAAGAATAGAATGAATGCTTTTCGAGCACGGCGCGAATGTCGCGCGATACGAAATGCAAAGAATCCACGAATAGAGATATAAATTGTGCAAGATGAAACGAGACTTGTAGTGCCAGAAAGATCACAGTTTTCGAGCATGCGTATCGAAAATTACATCGTTCTCTATCCAGATTTTGTTAAACTTCGATTATGGATCAAGCAAACTATATAGACGAATATCGTTTGTTCGGTGGTCGAAATGAGTCGCACGACGATTAACAGTTTGTTTCTTTTTCAAACGTATCGTTGCGTGTAATTGTACAATATCGACACAGGAAAATCTGGATTTCTTTTATTATTTTCAATAAGCACTCTTGGTCGCTGTTTTTGATCATGCATGCGTGAAAAATGTGGCCAGTCTTGCGCCACGGAGTCTGATACAGATTATGAGAATAATAGACACCGTGTACACACACGCGTGTTTCGAAAGACGCGAAACACAAGTAAGATTCACCCGCTCAAAGACGTTTTCATTTCTTTTAGCATTCTTCGCTGCAATCGCCTCGCGTTGTATCTTTAATCTTCTCTACGGGGACTATTTCACGATAATCGGATCACCTATATTTTCTTTGTTCATAGCTCGCGTGTCACGTTCCAAGTATGAAATAGAAATAAAAGAGGTAAATAATGTTTAGAATGTTGTACATATTATTAATTAATGATTAATATTATTATTATTATTATTGTATCGACTCAATAGTTTAATTGATTGATCGATTGTATCGTGTTGGTCGGCACATTTGTGGATTCAGTTTTTGTACGGTTGGAATTCTATAAAATATGGAGTTCAAGACTTCCTGTTGCTTCGAATCGCGTCGACGATCGAACGTAAGATCGATCAATTACACCGAATAAAGCAAGTAAAAAATAAAGAAACGTGTTTTTATACCGCCGCGGACTCGCGTTGTGTCCTCGACTGTTTTATCGTTTATAAATTTTGGATTTAATCGTTTTAATTTTTATTCTATTTATGTCACGATGTGTTATTTTATTTTTATTACTATTTTTTTTCCTTCTTTTTTTTTTACTAGGACGAACGAGTTTCCGTTGAAAACTGTGAAATTCTCCTATTTTTTGTTTTATATCTGTTAACGTTTGATCGAGGCCTTCGCCGTCGAATTCGGTTTCTTTTATTCGAATAATGTTTCCCGTTGGGTCTCCCAATAAAAAATAATAACAGAAGGAGGTTTATTTACGTTTAAACGAAAACTTTTTTTTAATGTATTGACATCGATCCCTCGAACGAAAGCAAATTTTTATTCGATTGTTTTTATATAATTTAAGTAAGCGGACACGCGATGGATCGAGAAGATTTTCGACACGAATGCCAAGCCGATGAATTCGATCGATCGATCGATCGTGGCAAAATAAATGCAAACGTTGGCTCGCGATCACCTAAAGAAAAACGCGAAGACGTTCGATTCGTTCGTATCCGTCGCAAAGAACGTTTAGAAACGGAGAGACATGGAGACGAGACGAGAATTTCAAAACGTAGATGTTTCGAAGTACTTTCCGTGAACTGCCTGCCGCCTGTTTGTGCAAACTACGTTGCCTCGACAAATGCGTCTAATTTATTGACGATACGATAATTAGCAGGTCTTTTAAGCTGCGTGCATGCAAGTGATAAAAGAAAGAAAGATGTTTCATGCAATGTGTGTGCGTGTGTATGCGTCCTTAAGAGAGAGTAAGTGTGAAAGAACCGAGCAAACAAAAGATGAATGCGAGAGGGAAAGACGGACGAACAAAAAAAGAAATGCGAGCGCATCTGTCACCGGACAGTCCTCGACGGAAATTCATTCTTTTTCTTCGAGCGCGAGAAATGAATCGTTCTTTTCCCCAAAATTTGAATTTAGTGAATTCTCTAGCGCGATTTACGGGACGGAAAAGCACGATTTATTTGCGATGAGAACATATGTAGTTTCCACTATAAGAAACGCGAAGAGAAAGATCGTTTAACGCTGAACTGGGCAATGGTACCCTTACAACGCGTCGAAGTCACCCAAGCTAACCCAGAATGAATTAATTCGCGAAGATTGCGTGAATTATTCGCTGTATAATTTCCTTCTCTAATCAAACACCGAAATTGTAGATTTTCTATCGCAAAAATAAACGAAGGTCAAATGTCACCCCCTTAATAAATCACAGTTAAAGGACTGACGAATAGTTCCAATGGTATCGGATATACAGTGTTAAACGTAGACACGAATTTCCAAGATCACGTCCGGTCCAGCTTGCAAGCGTGCCTCGCGAAACATTCTTTTCCCTTGTGTTTCTTTTCCCTTAAGCCTGGACTATTTCCAACGAGCGATCTCACGTCTATTTAAGCATAAGTTTACCGAGTTTAGCGTGGTATTGCTGTATAGCGGCGAGTGAACGCGAAGAATTTATAAATATGTAATGCCTTAATGTTATATCGATAATAATATGGATAGCGTTACTGTATAATTAGTTGTGACTGGAGGAGGTCGACGTGGGTCGAAACGATGAAAACGAAGGAGAAAGGTATTTCACGATGGTGACGAATATAAACGAACGAAACCGACTGAATAAAAGCTGAAAAAAAAAACCACAAAATGATACAAACGTAACAGACAAAGTAAACAAAAGGGAGTGCAGTACGCGCGGTCGTTTGTCTCCATTCTGTTCGTGATTTGATATTTTTTTATAATTCCGACGACGAGAAAGAACGATTGGAGAAAAAGAGAGTGTAAATGGAGCGTGTATAGAGCGGACTGCTATCTAAAATAGTTCAGGCTAGATGTCGATGTTTGTAGCGGATAAAGAACAAAAAAACAGCGTATTGTAATTAAAATTAAAAGTCATTAATACTGCCCGCATTTTTATTAGTCCGGCGATTGTGATCCAACGTCCCGAGCCTATCGATATTCTCGACGCATCCAACCTCATCGCTCGGTTCTTCGTGACATCGATTGGCGGCACTTTAAGCTTATAATTTCAAGGTGTCGATAATTCATGGATCAAGATTTGAACTATCTAGGGTAATTGATTTTTAAAATTGTTACCAAAGAAAATACTTTATTTCCACTGTCAATAAGGAAAAGAACTTGTTACGTTAACATTCTCTTTTATTTTGAGTTTTAGTCGATCGTTGCTCGCATCCCGTTACATTCTTGAAATTCGAACACAGCAGTCACTTGCAGTCCCTATAAAGCACGTCGCAATCCTCGTCACGAATCCCAGCCTCGCCTGCGTCCTCCACCAGACGATCCCAACCAGAAGTCGATTTCAGCGATTTCCCGACGGTACGTCTGAAAAGATATGACCATCCCCCAATGCTTCCAAGGAACGAGAGAAGATGTACCAATTCGACGCGAATGCTGATACCAGGTGTAAGAGTAGTGTTCTTTTTTTTTCAATTGTCTTGCAATGTTAAATTTGTTACAGCGAAAACAGCCCTGGAGACAACAGTAACGGTAAAGTGGAACTCACGTTAAGTATTTAGCTAGTATCTTGCCGGTGACCCCAAACGCTTTCGAGAGCTTTCGATTTTCCAAGCAGACCGTTTTCTGGATGCAACGTACCCTGGCATCGTCGTTGAGAACGTCTTTCTGTTCAGGGCTCTGAAAACAGCAGATAAAAGGACCCGAAGTTAACTCTTCTTCGAATAATAGAAAAAATAAGGGTCAGTCGTATCCTTCGAAAATTTTCATTCGAATTATTTATTATATTTAATTCCGTTAAGACCGTAATACCTCGAAGCAAACATCAACCTCTGTCACTCGAGTTTGAATCGTAAAGGGTTAGAAAAATCATAAAAATCGACCTACCACTGAGTTAAAATCGTAAGCAGCATAGATGTCTCTCTTCTCTCTGCCCGATAATACCTCCGTCAAGTCTCTCCGTTTCGTAGCCGCTATCGTGTTCGTTATTACCGCGAACAACAACAGCAAACCGATGAAACTAACGATCATGAGTTGCTTCGACGATGGTCCAACCGAGTGATCGATGGAGTGCGCCATCGGATACCCGAAATATGGATGTTCGTAAACGTACGGAAGGTCACTTCTGTGATCGATGAACGTTCTCTGAGGCGCTAAAATACGTGACCCCATTAAAAACTGCATAGTTCTTTCCCTCTTCCGTTCTTGCCCCTTTAACCCCTGCGCAACTGTGTACTCTAAACTCTGGATTGATGTCTCTTTTATATCGCCTTTCTTTCAAGACTTTACTATTTGCAAAGGGTTAATAATCAACGAAACGGAGACAGAACTTTACCGTGAACAAAATGATTCATCGACGCGGTCAGAGGTCGTGCAAGAGTCTCTCCAGGTCGCGCCAGATCCGATCGAACAGAGGGTTCGAATCCTTCCGACGATGAGCCATTTTCCACGAGCGGATATATCATCGACGTGGTATCCTGAGCGGCGATCAACGCTGCAATCGTACTCATGATTGGTAGAACTCTCGTATCGAGAACAAGAATCATTTTTTCCGTTATATATTTAGTAAGATCCACTGTACACACTCGTACGTTATCTCGAGGAACGGATGAATCGCGACACGTGACTGACAGAAGCTTGAGGATGCACTGTGGACTTTAAGAAGGTAGACGAAAGACTTCGTGACGTCGTCGATTCGATCCGAGCGAGTCGGCGAAAAAAGTGGCAGCCAATTTGAGAAATTGCGCGGCCATTATTCGGCTCGCCGAAGTATGGCTGCCTCTATAGTGAAAACGTTAGACCAGGTCTATCCTCTGAACAGCCCACAAACTGTACTCCGGGGCTCGTAATGGGTGTAGAGTCGGTTCACCGTGTCGCGGATGAATCTTTCGAATCTCTCTATGTGATTTCATACATCAAAGAACGTGGCGTTCTGCGGCTGACTTTCCCCACGTTATGTTGACTGAAAAGAAAAAAGCACGCGAAGACAGCTATATCGCGTTAAGAACCGCGCAGGGTTCTTTCATGGGCCGTGGTCGCAGCCCACGCTTCTTTTCTTTCTATTTGTGACGCTCGACGCGTTAATAATTGAAAGTCAGAGCAGACTCGCGACGTCCATACGACTCGCAATCGCGTGGCACCGACGCAAAGACGTTTGACACGCACGCAAAACACAGCGGCGTGCTCACTCGGAACAAAGGGTTGCCTGATTTCCAGCGCGTAAAGAAGAGAAAAGCGTGTTTGATGTAAATGTTCGACGAACAGGCGGGGCGAGGAGTTGGGCAAATCGGTTGGTTAGGCTGGCTGCTGAATCCAAGGGGTTGCTATGGCAATGGGACGGTGGTCGACGGTAACGAGGAGGGGACAGAGGGCCGTTGCCTAGAGGGTTCGTCTGTCTGGAGCCCTTCTAAAGGGGATGATATTCTTCGCTCTGTCTGGCTGGCTGGCTGACGCTCGTTTTACGGCGAGTCAGCTGTTTCGACGCCGAGCTATGATTTTCTCGGCAGGCCTTCACTTGGTCAGATTAAGCCGCCCTTATCGCAAGTTCCTTATCCTCCACTGGATATGTTCGTCTGTTACAGGAAGTTACAAAATAGAAAACTTCATCCCCTCGAAGCTTGTACCATGACTTTTCTAACACGTTTTCGTTTCTGTCTTTAAGTATAAGTTCCTCGAAACGCTTTTCATCTCCTTGCAAAATGAAAGATGAAGCTCACTCTGGAGTGACGAAGAAATTTATGGTTACGCTGGCAACCGGTTAAGCAAAAGTTTGCGAATTCCCCTGACGGTCGTCAAATAAGTCCAACGTGACATCTTGTTGAAAGACTGCATCGTCGACAAGATTAATAAGAAAGACTCTCCACGGACCGGTAGTAACAACTTCCAAGGAGCAATGACAATCTTTCTAACTTTTCTGCCCTGCTGTCGTAGCTGGAAGAGAAATCCCGTGGCACCATAGATGTAACAGCTCTCGATACCAACAGAAAATTATTAGCTCGTTTCAACCTACTTCTGGAATCGTTTCACCAACAATCCCTTCGCGGTCTACGAAATTCCGCGCCACAGATAAACACAGATCGCTCGTTAGCTTGGTATCTCGTATCGATGCCAATTATTCTCACGGCAGAGTTTCTACCCTAGATGATACGTTTCCCTCGTCTAGCGAAGCGTGCAATATCCTTGGGACTGCGCTTCTTTTAAACCAACCTGGAAAATGGAACGTCTATGTACCCCAGATTATAAATAACTACCGTGTGTTGCATTTTTTTATAGACCGTACTGAAGGCGAACCACAACCTCGCGATATTTTGAGGATACGCGATAATCATCAGCAACCGATAACTATTTGCAACTGTCTCCTCAAAATTATCAATCAAGAAAAATTGTGGAACATCAATTTTATCGAAAACAAACCAAAGTAGGTAGAACCCAAAAGACAGGGCACGAAGAATGAAAGAACAGGAAATTGTGTCTCATTGGAAGCCGTACGACTCTTTTACGCGTTTCCTATTATTCGGAATGACAAGATAGACCAGACGTAACACAGACTTATTTCTAGGAGGATACCGCGGTATAGCGTTCGTCGCGCTAGGCCTCTTTAGCTGCAATCGAGTGTCCTTCGGCGATACAATTCTCTTTACACAAAGCAGACGGTCTGGCGTCTAGAGGACCGTCGAGATGACTCTTCTTGGACGTTGCCAGTTTATTGCGAACAATAAAACCCGGGGTTATTTTTTTTTTTTTTTTCTTTAGAGCTGACTACGTATCGGGGTCACATCAATAGACACGGCGCGTAAACGAGCCGCGCGGTTTCACGCCAACGCGACGCGAGCGAAGATTGTATTTTTAGCCGCCTTTTACATTGGTGCCGTTCTGCGGCCGAACACCGTGCTGGCTGATTTTTTTTATCACGGTCCAATCGAAACGCCCTGGCCCGCAATCAGAGCTTCGTTAGGAGCCCTTTATACCGACGAGCGACGCCGACGCGATTCGGCGTCGCGGGTCGTGACTTTCATTCACGTCAGAATACGGACGAGTATACCTAACATAAAACACACGAACACAGTATTTTTAGTCGTTCACTTTTGTTCCTGATATACAGAATGGTGACTCTGACTTCTTAGCAAACACTCTAGCATATGGACCGTAATATTGGAAGCATACAAAGAATGAACCAACCGAACCATGCTTACAAATCGTAGCAAAGGTAATAGTACGTTTACTTTGAGACTTTACCAGAAGAAAAAATAAGTCGCATCGTTATTAGGACGTATGTTCTTATTTTAACACGTTGATCGTCACGTCACTCGTATACAGTGAGTCCCATAAATATTCGTACACCCTATCTCTATTGAAGAAAGTTTAAATTAAATGGTAGGTTTGATGTTTCCAAGTGTATGTTTATATATATATGTTGATGTGTATATAAATATATACATGTATAAAATTATTCATATACATATTTATAATGAAAAATTCATTTGGTAATATCAAAACTATTACTTAATGTAGTCGAACTTTCTTCGATAGACATAGAGGGTACGAATATTTATGGGATTGATTGTTTGTATGACAGTGCTTTTCATTGGAGAACTAAAGAAATTAATTCTGAAAGTTAGTTGTCAAAGAAAATGAATTTGAATGAAATACTTGTTGAGCAATCAATGTGTTAAGGGTAATAATAATTTTCATTTGAAAGTTTCTGGCAGACTCCTAGTACAAAGGGCCATAAAGTGAAATCTTACAATACATCTGCTGTTACGATAGGACTAGTTTTTTCTCCCCGTAAACAGAGCCCGCAATTACTTTTTCCGTTGTCTTTTTGGTCGATCGTCGCATATGTATCCAGCGCGAGGTGGTCGTGATTTCAGGACCGCGGTTACCGTGTAGAATTAATGGACAACTCTTGTCTGTTGCGTTTTCCCGAGAACGCCGAGTGCTAGATTCGTTGCTTGTTAAATTCCAGGTGCAAGAAATACTCGTGCTTTTTTGCGGGACCCGGGTCTGTGTGTACGCTGCTTAATTAATTGGAGAGTTTTTCGTATCGTGTCTGACCCGTGCCGGGCTCTACTACTTGCTGGCACGCAACCAGCTCGTGTTGCCTCGACGAGTGATCGCCGCAGAACATTTTGTTGACGGTTTTAAGGACTGTCTGTTAAAGGGTTACGTTGCCCGTTACGTTTAAAGTACGCAGGACTACTTACACGAACATTCAATTATAGAGAAAGAAAGAACAAAATTTAACGTTTAAAAAGATTACTAACATCGTCAAACAATACTAGGAACGTTATTATACACCAATTTATTTAACAAGTTTGATGATAACTGAAGTTAAATCGCTAATAATCATTAGTAGTTGATGCGACTCTAAACTTGTATTTGAAAACAAAAATCGAATTTAAAAAAATTGTTTTTAGCACGGTATTCTGCACGTATTAAATTACAAAAGAGGATCGGATGACATTGAAAGATCTATTCGGATCAGCTCGTCTTCGGAAATCCTACGAAGCCCAGAAATCTCGATGATTCCGCCTCCGACCTGTTTACCTTCTCCTCGAAATCTTAGGAGGACTTTCCTATTTCTTGGATTATGCTGGTTTGGATCTGAATCTCTTCGAGCACAAACACTGCGCGTTTTCAACCTATTTGAACATTCCTACCGTAGTCACAATACTAATTACGTATCGATTGGTACTCCCACGTTTCACCAGCGTTGCAAGTATCTTCTTCAGGATTCAAATGACAACCTGACATCAATACGATATCAGCTGTGAAAGCCTTGAATATTTTACTCGTTGATTCAATGTTTGACATTGTATTAAAATCAATACCAGCTTGAGAAACGCGCAGAAAATTCGTTCGTTCTCGGTAAATAGTGTCGCGTTATTTTTCAGGAGGACCAGCGAGTCCGTGCTCTTTCGTTTCGCTTCCCAGGGCAATGGTTCGTCGAGAGTTATCGTGGAACGTGTTTAATATGCGGAACGACGTGCTTGCTTTAATATCGCGCGTCCTGGTACTCGGAACTTCCCGAACACTCAAACGATGAACACGTTCTCCTCCTGAATTAACGGGACGGGCGTGCATCGCGAAACGATACCGTCTGTCCAAGCTTTCGTAACTATGCGCATCTTTAAAACGTTGACCCGACCAGGCATTCGTTTTGGAAACCCTCGAAACGTTTCATCGATCTCGCAGCTGCAACGGCGAACCTTGTAACAATTTCTTCTGTCCACAGTGGAGTCCCCCAGCGAATCGGAACTTAAAGAGACCGGCCAACGTCGCGTTTCTTTGGATCAACGTTCGAGACCCACGATGATACATCACCAGTGAATAATGGGCGAGGATCTTTCGAGGGAAACCGTAATAACTTTCCATACGCGGAGACATTTTTAAACGGAAGGAGAAATCAATACACGCTGTCAGGTAATACGCGAAGCCAGAGCATTCGTTTTTTAACCCTTTGCGCCCGTGAGGTGACTCTCGATCGCGTCTTAACGTGATGCAGTAGCTCGAGAGGCGACTCTCGGCAGCCACTAGGTTCGACGCAGTAAACCAAGCAACAATAGAGTTTGCTTAGGTTTAATTTCCTTGGAACTCGAAGTGTCAATAAAACGATTGTTGGCGAGGTAAAGGTGGCCTGATTTTCAAGTCTCAAATTAGTTTGTTTGAAGCAATCTAAGCTTAGCATTCGTGGCAATAGAATGCTGAGAAAGCATCTCGAGTTGCTGGTAGATACCAGAAAGAAGGCATCGAGTGCAAAGGGTTAATAAGCGCATTTCCTCTTCTTCGATGTTATCTCTCACTACAAATGATTTCACGAGGATTGACAACGAATTCTAACTAATTTTTACGATGGTCGACGAAAACCGACGTAATCCGTAGCGATTGGTGTACAGAGATAGTGTTTAACGATAAACGAAAAAAAGTATAGGTCGTTGCGACTTTATATCTCGTCGAACGCCACCTTTCACCCCGTTGTTAAGCGAAACGTTAATTGGCGCGCTAATCGATGAAAGACTCACCTTCCGCCCCCTCGATTTTTCTCGTTCTTTCTTCGTTGCCGTCCGGTCAACGCGACCCGCTCCGTTCCGCGTGGCGTAATTCTACCGCGTCGACATTTTCGACTTCGTTTCTGCGCTAATACCTTCGATGACTGACTGTAATACCGCGTCCTAGAAATGATCGGCGCGACTGCATTTTCACCCTTTAAGTGCCAGAGAAAAGTTTCATACATATGCAAAAATACCAGACAATTTTAAGCAAAGATGCATGATTGTAGACAAAAATATGTATTTCGGTCAATTTTATTTTAAGGTTCATGTAATTTTTTTACAATACCAAATACATGTTATAAGTTTAACAAAAAATAAATTCCTATAACATAGTAGAAATCGTACAAAAGAGTAGGATCTGTAATCTTGAACCGAGAAAAAGTTGCACTGCCAAAGGGTTAATATTCAATTAATTCTCAGCGAAATATTTTCAAGGCACGTTGATAAAGGAATCGAATCGCTTGCTATCGGATTCGAACGGTTACAAGCTGCAATTACTCTTTCAGCGCATCGTTATAAGTCACAACGACAAATAGATTTCGTGTAGAATTTGGAACGACTCGAGACTTGCGTCATAATTGATAGAAAATAAGTAGTCGCGCGCGTCGATACCACACCTCGAGGCTGATCTTCGATCCGACTCCGATGACACTAGCCAAAAACAAATGCGAAGACAAGGCTGTCTCAACCGATTGTTCTGTTTATGAATTGTTGCGAAATCACCCTCGACTCGACCCAGGTCGCGAAGGTCTGAATCTCATAAAATTCTCCGTTCGGATGAAAACCCCATAACGGGGATTCCCCACTCGAGGCCCACTTCTACACGCGGTAAAATCTCGACCTACGTTCAGGTCTTGCGGCCGCTTCCGGCCAAACATTCGCGTAAGGACGGACGGTGGTGAGCAGAGAGCGCAGGGAGAGGGTGTATGCGAGTAGTCGAATCATAAATTTCAAGGAGGAAGCGAGGACCGGCAGTCGCGGCGGTTCGAGGCGACAAGAACGAAAGAAAAGTTTGGGCGTATGCGGCGTGGCTACCCTCTCTTCGTTTCACCTTTGCGGCCGTCCCGTTTCACCCTTCTCCGTGCTTCTCCTTCTCTCTTTTTCCACCCCCGTGAAATCGACGTTGCGCGTTTATCGAACGACTGCGCGCGCACCGATAACAGGGATGGGGCGTGCGAAGTGTTGGTTGGTCGCGGAGAAAGCGGCGGTGGACGAACGCAAACGTAGGGACCGAACGAGCAACGACGACCACGACGACGACGACGAGGACGACGACGACGACGACGCCGAGGCGGACGAGGACACGGCGACGGCGACGTCGGCGAAGACGGGAGCAGCAGACACGAATCGGAGCCCGCCGCGTGAGTCGCAACCGTTTCCGACTCTCTCTTTTGGCGAACCGCACAGCCCTCGCGTTGTCAACAACTCGACATAGCCCCCGTGTGTGTCGCAAGCGTGCACATCGACGACCACATTCGTCCGTGGACCCATGCCCGTCCCGCGGAGGGTGAACGTAGAGGTATCCCCGCGACATCGCGAATGGTGCATCGCTCGTTTACGAGAATGAACAAAGAAAGACGAATTTCTATGCGCCGAGAGTGACACCGCGGGAACGACCATCACGGTTTGTTTTTGTTTATCGATTGCATCGGCCGACACAGTGCCGACCGCGGAGAGATCGAGAAATCAACGAAGTGATCGGAACGGTACGCGCCGAAGTGCATCGAATGTGCTGGTGCAGCCCCAACGGTTGTTTCGGAGGGATCGCGAGAAGAGGGTGGATTCGCTAAGAAAAGAGTGCACCGTAGCCTCTCGAAACCTACGAGGGAGGACATATCCGATGAGGTAGCCCGAACGGTCGGTTCTGTATTTTCATTCACCTGGTTCGTCCTCCCTCCGAGAGGCGGAGGACGGCGAGACATCGATCGCTCGCCATTTTGCACAACGACCGACATCTTCTCAACGCATCGACGACATTTTCCCCCGTCAGTGGCACCTCGCGGAAGAAACACCTCGCGACTCGACTCGGAGAAGCGTCTCTCGATCTAGAGAAGTGTGCGCGTCTGGACCGTGTATAGTTTGGTGAAGGTGTTCTTGTCTATCGATTCGCGACTAAGCTCAGCCGTATTACGCGCGAGAGTCTCCCGTCGAGGAGAAGGTGCTCGGTAGTGGTTGAAGTCACAGAAGCAAAGGTAGAAAGGAAAGCAGAATCAGCCCATAAGGTCCGAAGAAGAAAGGAAAGGAGGAGGCGACAGGGTCGTTTAGGTCGAAGGTAGAAATCAGCAGGCTGGGAGGTCGGCTGAGTGAGGTGGTGGGTCCCGTCGTGGAGGTGCCCATCGAACCAGGGGGTGCGATCCCGAGGGGACCCCCGAGAGACTCCTCGGTTCCTGGAGCACTCCCGCCACCCCCGCAGCCCATTACCACCCCGAGTCCACCGAGACCTCCGCCCACTACGTCTCAGCAAACACAGAATCCGGGTCGTCGGACCCACGAGACGAACTCGGACACCTCGAACCCAGGTCACCAACAAACCCAAAACCCGAGTCATCGTCAAAATCCCGGACATCAGGCGCAGAATCCTGGACATCAGACTCAAAACCCTGGCCAACAAAACCAGAATTCGAGCAATCAGTCGCTAAATCCTGGCCAACAGGCCCAGAATCCTGCTCCACCGGCTCAAAACGCGAATCGACAGTCCCAAAATCCCACGCACCAGGGAACGAAGACGCAGCAACCGTCGTTGCAACAGCAACACTCGGTGCAAAAGCCACCACCTCAACAACAACAACAACAACAACAACAACAACAACAACAACAACAACA